AGGCATGTCTCTTCGTCTATATTTAAACGCTCACTCGATTTGCTAAACATCCTAAAACGAGCAAACGAATAAGGCGATCCACAAAGGGAAAGGAATGCGAGATGACAACTCGCGGACCTCCCTCAATATCAACTCATATTCTTCCCTCTACATTTATACGAATTAAAACACGCTCTTAAAAACGTAAACTGATTTTTAATAAAGCCGCAAAAGCGACAGGGACTCAGATCCGCACACGGCCAGTCAGAAAACTATAACAGCCACACTCGGCCCTAGAAAAAAACCCACGAGGCTAGTCTCAAGGCCGGCAAAGGTCCAATTCACATAACCAAACCGTAAAGGTCTTGCTAGGAAACAGGTCATACGAACCTTAACTCCAAAACGAACTACGAAAGGCTTGATCCCTTCAAAAGGGTACGTAGGCAGCCTTCACAAGGCGCAGCCCTAATCTTAAACACTTTCACTTCATGGAGAGTGAAAAGATCACTTTCAACGGACCCTTCCAACTATTAATTTCGCCTAACTTAACTAAAACTAGCTAACCACTCGCAAGAACCTTACGCTAGAGGCTCAAGATTCTAGCGAGCTGGGGGGCTAACTGTTGGTGTCAAAATCGGTCACGACGGAATCAATGGCTAAAAGATTCCGCAAGAAATAAAAATACGTTTTATAAAAATCGAGAAATCGTTTTATAAACTCGAGAAATTGTTTTATAAAACTCGAGAAATCGTTTTATAAAACTCGAGAATTTGTTTATAAAACTCGAGAAATCATTTTATAAAACTCGAGAATTCGTTTTATAAAACTCAAGAAATCATTTTATAAAACTCGAGAAATCGTTTTATAAAACTCTAGAAATCGTTTTATAAAACTCCAGAATTCGTTTTATAGAACTCGAGAAATCGTTTTATAAAGCTCGAGAATTCGTTTTATAAAACTCGAGAAATCGTTTTATAAAACTCGAGAAATCGTTTTATAAAACTCGAGAAATCGTTTTATAAAAGTAAAAGGAAGTTTCCAAACAAAGGAAATCCGCGGAAAACTCGGAAATCGTTATCTCGGAAGAACGAAACAAACCTCGATTACACGATCGTCCCAGTTAAGCACAAAACCGCGAAAAACCGCATCCGCCGTAAACCGCGAGCTGGTTCGGCCGATCTAGCTCGCCGTACGGCGAGCTAAGCAGCCTCGAACTAGCTCGTCGTACGGCGAGCTAGACGCTTCCCGGATAGCTTGCCATACGGCGAGCTGAACCGGTCCAGATCGGCTCGTCGTACGTCAAGCTGACCATCCCGAACGTCGATCTCCCACGTCTTCGATTCAAGACATACGTCCTTCAGCACGATCGTGTTCCGAACCACGGTCGAAATGTCTCTCGTTTCGTCGCAATCCGTCCCATCGTTCGAGTTTTACGATAAAAACCGTAAAAGTCTTGTTTTCTTAAAAGAACTCGAGAAAATCGTATAAAACGACAACGGTTAAATGAAACACCGAACATTGCCTAACTATACGATCTGCTCGAGACTTTTCGTGTGAAATCGTAAAAAACCCGTTTTTAATAAAACTCCGAGTAAATCGTAGAAAACGGCAACGATTAACCAAAACATCGAACATTGCTGAGCTTTACGATTAACTCGAGAAACTTATTTAAAAACGGCATCGCATCTGGAAACGATCTCGTATAAAGTCGTAAAACGGTTTTGTCGCAAAACGGTCCGGAAAGTCCTAAAACACGATAAAAGCCTATCTCGCGACTTTAACAAAGTCTAACCCGAAGATACGACGACGTTTTGAAGATTTACTCGCAAAAAGAAGATAAATGTCAAATTTGAAGATAAATGTCAAGTTTGGAGATAAATAGAAGATTTCCGCGGGAAAAAAGAAAGATAACGATAAAAGGAAGATTCTCGATAAACTCGAATCTGGGCGAAATGGAAGGACTAAACCGCCAAGGAAGGGAGTATATAAGCAAGAGGCATATGACAGAAGCAAGGGACGATTTTCAGCGTTCTCATCTGAGACTTTTACAACGTTTCTAGACTTAGAGTTTTCCACACTTAGAAACTTAGGCTTTTTTCTCGACAAGTTTGGTTTCCATGACTGGCGCTCAATTAATAGATCGAACTCGCCCAGGCAGTTTGATCTCTTGTCCAGATCTACCAACTGAACTACGTTCGACTTGATCCCCGAAAGGGGTACGTAATCAGCCTTTCACAAGGTTCAGTCCGAAATCGATCAAACTCTCTTTTTCTTATCTTTTTCGTCCTTTTTTATCGAGCTGCGACTCAACTAGGTTTAGGGTTTATGTTGATAACTCGCTGACGGCCCCTGTGGCCAAAGCCTTTGTAATCTCTTGTAAAGATCTTAACGCTCTTACGCGAATTCGAAATAAGATCGACTTTCTTTATAAATTCGTTTTATCATGTTTTTCGTATTTTCCGCATTTATTTGGTTACTTGCCGTTGGCTTCCGCAAAGATCCGGATCCTATGGAAAATTAGGGTTTTCCTAAGTTTCCTTATTTTACGGAAATCGACGGTGTGAATTTCGGTTCCCACAATTCGTCTCTATTTTTCCTTACTATTTGCGAGTTTTTGAAAACAAGTAACTAATGAGTCATTGACATGTTGGTTTTGTATGTCAAAATTTGTTTAAATATATTTTTGACATTGCATCCACGATCGTTTTTTCTTGCCACCATCCAACACTAAACTCCTCATTTCTTATAAGTTCACATATTCATATACATTATTATTTTTATATTATGATCCATGTTTTCTCCTGATGTTGTTTAATATGCATTTTTAATGAGACCAGCGCCTTGCGCATGATGAATATTATGGATAAAAGTTATTTTTACATATTATTGTTTACTTTGTGTTTTTTTCTTGCACATATGAAATAAATAAACATATAAATAAACATATAAAATAACTAATGGCAAGCTTTCAGTCAAGGTGTGTTTCTTAAGTGTAAACTACTTAGCTAAGCAAGTTTTACGTCTAGACAAATGATCATTTGCTTTCATTAATCAAACACAAATGGTCATTGGCTTAATCAATTCAAGCAACCATTAGGAACAAGTTTAATAACTATTTAAAACTCCCTAGATACAAATGATCATTGGCTAGGTGATTTTAAAGCTAGGAGAGTTGGTTCAGACATTTAGATAAACACCTTGTAGGTAGAAAATGGCTAATGATCATGATTAAAGATGCCAACAATAATCAAGCATTAACATCACTCAACTAACAAGGAAACACCTATATCTAACACCTAAGACCTAAGATCTACACTTGATCACCCTTACTAATCTATCTCATGAATCTAAAATGGATCTACTCACTAATACACATGATTAACCTAACTACAATGGTTGATTGTTGGTTAAACATGATTAGAGATCAAGATTACTCAACAAACTTTATAAAAAAAGATGAAAAGAGGATAAAGTTATGATCTTTCACCAAATAGTATTTAGTTTCAGAGAAAAATACAAGATAAGATGACATTTCTGGTCTAAAATGTATTTATAGTAAGCTAAAATTTGTCCTAGATCAACCCAACTCTAGGCCAGCCGAACTATAGATAGGTAAAGCCTGCTTCGGAAACGAGCCGCACCCTGTTCTTTTCCGCGGCTGAAGCTCGCGGGCTCGTTCAACATGCCGCGTCCGTCCAGAACCGCAGCCATCACTCGCGGGATCCTCTGGTCGAGTTGAACAACTCTTGACCGCAACCTGCTCCCGGCCGCGGTGACAGCCCGCGGTAAACCGCCTAGCACCCGCGCCCCTCACTTCCCACGGTGGAAGCCCACGGAATTCTCTGGCCACTTTGCTGTCAGAGGATCAGACGTGAACCCGCGGTCACCTTCTAGCCGCGGTAAACCCGGTTTTCCACCATTTCATTCTCTTGTGAACGTTTTGAAGCTCATTTGGTCTCCAAATCTGATTAACACTTCTCCAAACCTAAAAACACATAAATGCAATGCAAACTAAACAAACTCTAAATGTATTAAAATGGTAAATATGTACACCAAATGAATGATTAAAACTATTAAATTCATAAGATATCAACTCCCCCAAACTTGTCATTTACTTGTCCTCAAGTGAACTTTCAAAAGCAATAGAAGAAAATGTTTGAAGGTGGGAGCTCATAGCCAAAAGAAACACTTCCTAGTACTCAATTTAACATCTTAAAGAAACATAGCAAATAGCATGAGCATACTCCTTATTGTACTCTAGCTTCTCTAGGCCTATCAAAACACTCTTATGTCTTTAAGCAAGATGCATAACTTATCAATTAACAAGTTCCTTCAACCAACTCTCACATTCATTCACACACACACACAAGGTGAAGTCTTACAAATGGGCACATGATCTCAATCATTTGGCTTGGTAAGAAAAAAGGTTCAATGTGAAACAAAAAGGGTCATATGCATTTTTTTATGGTGACACTACAAGAAATGTGGGTATTAATAGCATTAGATTATAACGTTTTTAACAGTTCTGCTATTGTATACCAATACTGAATTATTTAATAGCGTTTATAAATTTAAAACGCTATATTTGATATCGCGGGAAAATAAAAAAATTTAACCGCGTTAATTTACAAATGTAGATACCTTACCATTACATATCCAAAATTAACGCTATTGTAAATGTTAATTATCTCAAATTTTAGAAAATACAAGAAAAACTCTATATAGCCACAAAATTTATTTAATTATAAAAGTACAAAATCATTTGTACCTATCTTTAACTCTCACTTTGTCTCTTCCGCCTCCTCTGTATCGTGTTCTCGATCTTCTCTCTTTTAACCTTCTGATATAGCTGTTGCTTCCTAATTCGTGTTTAAGGTAAGTTGTTTCTATCCTTTGTTCACTCTTTTCTGATTCGAACTGATTCACCCTTTTGTTTCTTGCCTTTGATTTCAATTGCAGATGAATCTCCTAGGCGCCACGGAAAGTTAACCGAAGGCGTCAATCTTAAAATCGCTTCCTTCATGGCTCAGTTTCATAGCTTACCACCTGATTGTAATTTTACGCTTCTTGGGTTAGGTTCTGTCTCTGTGAGTTTTGTTTCTAACTAGTGAAATTGAGGTTTAAATAAAAAATTTGTTTGATTCTTAGTGCAACGAGAGAACCTGGAACCCTTGCTTTTATTTCATTTTGAAGGGTGCTGTGGTTATGATAGACGGAGACGGGAGATCGAGGTGTTTTGGGTTTGTTAACTTTGAGAATGCTGAAGATGCGGCGCGTGCTGTTTAGGGGGGCTTAATAGGAAGAAGTTTGATGATAAGGAGTGGTATGTAGGTAAGGCTCAGAAGAAGTCTGAGAGGGAAGTTGAGTTGAGTAGAAGATATGAACAAGGAGCGAGGGAGACAGGGAATAGTTTTGATGGATTGAATCTGTATGTTAAGAATCTTGATGATACTGTTACTGATGAGAAGTTACGTGAGTTGTTTGCTGAGTTTGGTACTATTACTTCCTGCAAGGTCTGTCGTTGTTGCTTTGCTCATTTGTTGCTTTGCTCATACAGTCTTTGTATCTTTGATTTATTGTGGCTTTATCGAGTGATTAGATAAAAAGATGAATGCTTTACTCACTTTGTGTTTCCATGGTAATAGGTTTGTCCAAACGATGTAATTTTGTGTATTGCTTGATATCAAGGAGAAAACTTTGAAGAAGCTGTCTAAGTAGCAGGTGTGATCTAAACTGTCTTGTTTTTTACAACTGTTCTAGACACTCTTTGTTTTCTTTTCGTTCGCACATACTTACCAACCTATTTGTTTATATGTGCAGAATTCCTATCGGATCAAGCTTCTATCTTCGTACATGGACATGATATATGAATCCAATTAGCAGGGCTCACTTGTACAGTTCTCTGGCTCTAAGGAAATTCAAAATGATGCTGGAGATTGCCGTGACATCCTTGTGTTTAATACTTATGATGTCACCAATCTATCTACGTTCTTGGGTTTCTGTTGTTTGTTTGCTGATGTTTTCACTGTTGGTGGGTGACAGTGCTTCAGACAATAGACTATCTGCTTGTGAGTGATTCAATGGTCTTGCCGACAAATAAAACGCAGCGATCAAGGTCTGAGGATTCTCTATTGTAAAACTTGCTTATACATGTGTGTGAGTTAAAGCACTCAACGTTTCTTCAACGTGAGTTGTTTGCTGAGTTTTGTAAATTGTTATATGTTTGAGTGTTAAATTAACATTTGACTGTATTTTAATTAAATCAAGTTTGTATTTTAATTTATATGTTAGAGTGTAAAATTAAAAGATAAAAATAATTAGAGTTTTTATCAAAAAATTATATATATGTAATAGTTTATATATTTGGTGTACTTCAAACACTAAACCCCAAATCTTAAATTGTACTTCAAACTCTAAACCTAAAACTTAACCCCAAACCTTTCAAACCCTAAACCCCCAAAACTAAACCCCAACTTCAAACTTAACCTCAAACCTTTCAAACCCTAAACCCCCAAAACTAAACCCAAACCTCTAATATATACCTAAACTATATAGAATATTTAAAATTTAAAATATTTTTTTTTTAAATATATATAACTATATATTTTAAAATTATGATACCAAATTATGTAAACCTCAAACACTTTTGTTCAAAAAAAAACCTCAAACAATTAATCTTAAATCTACACCCTAAATCTAATAGCCTAAACCCTAAACTTAAACCCTACTTACTAAGTCATAAATCTAATCTTTTCAAATTATGTAAACCTCAAACACTTTTGTTCAAAAAAAACCCTCAAACAATTAATCTTAAATCTACACCCTAAATCTAATACCTTAAACCCTACTTACTAAGTCATAAATCTAACCTTTTCAAACTTATAATATAAATTTTAACCTAAACTCCAAATCTAAAACTTCAATCTTAAACTTAAACTCATAATTTAATAATTTTAAAAATTTCATAATCTAAAACTTCAATCTTAAACTTAAACTTCAAATCATTTATCCTAACCCTAAATCTAAATGTTAACACTATTTTTCTTAACCCCAAATACTATTTTCAAACATATAATATCATTTATATATAAATTTTAAATTATAATTTCAAATGATTCAAAGTTTCAATAATTTTATGATTATTATAAATACAAAAAAATAATTCATATTGTTTTTTGTTTGAGCCATTGATTGATTCACAATCAAAGGCCCAAAACCAATTTCTTTTTTATCTATCCTCGTCCTTGTTTTTTATTGGTTAGGCGTGGATCACCATTTTGCACCATTGGATGAAATTACATCAACGACTGAGATTAATTGTTCATTTTTCTCTTTTTAAAAAAAATAATTTTCTGAGATCTGTTCAGATCACGTGTTTGAGAAGAAAGAGAGAGGCGATTGGGTAAGCAAGGCATAACATCTTCTCTATCGATGGTAAGCAAGGCATAACATCTTCTCTCTCCCATCTCTATGTTTGGTTCTGTCTTCATACAGATCCCATATTGTTTACGAAGAAATAGTGTAAACGAGGGATCCAAAGTCTCAAGCTTTATTCTTCTGGGTACAGACATGTGTTTGATTTGAGAAGATACTGTTAGGGTTGGCTAGTGATAGAGTAATACTGGTTTACTAGTTATACATACATCGAAATCAGACATGTGTTTACCAGCAGTACATCAAAATCAGACAGAAGATGGATTGGTTTTATAAATAATTATCTACATGTGTTTACCAGCAACACAGCAGGGATTGGTGGAAGCAATGGCACAACAACGACGATGGGATATCAAACCAACGATGGACCAGCAACTGCGTCTGAAGATTCAAAGGAGGATCTGAACCAAGTCATAAACTCGATTCAGAAAACTTTGGGACTCCTTCATCAGCTTCACCTTACTGTCTCTTCTTTCACTCCCGCTTCTCAGCTTCATCTCCTCCAGCGCCTGTACTATCACTTCTCTGTTTCTTTAAAGATTATAGTTTTATGTATCTGAAAGAGAATGTCTTGTGTGTGTGTGTGTTTTTGCAGAAACTCTCTAGTGACGGAGCTGAATATCATGGCGAAGTTGTCTGAGAAATGCAACATTCAAGTCCCCATTTTCGAAATCATACATCGAAAAGTACAACTCTCTCCGCTTCTTGTGTTGCCCATTTTTATTTTTCTTATTCTAACAATAAGGAGCTCTAACCGCAAATCAGACATGTGTTTAAACTTTTTGCTCGTTTTTGTTATTGGTTTACTAGGGAGTAGGCCCTTAATTCAATACTCAGACTTGTTTGGGGTTTATTGTTAGTGTCCAAGCATTTTTTTCCCTCTAAGATAGTAGTAGCAGCAGTTAATCATGCCTTCTTAATAACCCATCTCCATGGCTTGATCATGTTGAGTTCTCTTCGCTATTCTCCAACATAATTTGTTGTTAGTGTAATACGTGTTTAATGTAAGCACACTTGGTCCTGCTACTTGGGATATGTTATTTTGAGATGTGTCATTGTTGGAGTAACTGTTAACTAATATGTGTTATCTTGGTGTAGGTGGGCAAGGCGCTGTGTCATAATAGTCCTAGCTTTTTCGAACTCTGCTTACTTTTGATATCTGAGAGTGCTTTTGGTTTGGGATCCGACTGAAGGGAAGGGATGGATATAGTCAGAGCTTGGCTCAGTAAGTACCAGTTCAAGAACCACTTAATCGTAATGAAGATATTGGGCGATGAAGCTTCTGATGATGATAGTGTTTATGTTAGGGAATTGTGAAGGTTTATTAGTGGTAGATTTATAGTTTTTATGTTTGTGTTGTGGTTTGTATGAACAAGATGTTTATCTTATGGAATTTTCAATAAATTTAATTGTTTTATTTCAAATTTTCGAATTAAATATTATTTTAAAAAAATAAAATCAATTCGTAATTAATATTAATAAAGTTTTGAATAATTTTATTAATAAATAATAGCACGAAATATTTTGCTATCTTTGCTATTGGAAAAATCTAATTAATATGTTTATAATATCATTTTCTAGACGCTATAATAAAATATTACAATTGCGTAACGCGAATCGCTATTAATAATTAAATATCAATAGCAAACTGGAAAAGCGCTATGCAATGTACGAGATCTATTATCGCGGGCGATGTTGGAGCGCTTTCTACAACGCTATGGTATCGTATGATAGCGCTTTACGGGTGCTATTAAAACCCTTATTTCTTGTAGTGTGACTTGCTCTCAAAGATAGTAGCTAGATCATTATGCAAAATTTATCAAAGAAAAGGAGAAATTCATCCATACATTGACTTGTTCTCATCATTATACCCCTTTCCTAGATGATATCAAGCTCTATTCTTCTTCTTTTCAAAACCCCAAAACTCAAAAGATCACCCATTTTCATCACTCACCCAATGATCACATTTTCTCTTTGATTTTAACCAACTAAGGATTTTTTTACAACACTTTCTCACTTAGCTCTTTCTTCCTATTTCTCTTCTTTTCTTTTTCTATCCCAAATCTTATTGTTTCTTTTCTTTAAGTTCTAGAGAGATTTTACTAAAGGATTCTTGAGCTTCCATCTCTTTTTTTATATATCCCTAGTGGTTTTGTTTTCTTTTTCTTCCCTTTTTTTGGCCACTCTTTTCATTTTTATTTTTCACCTCTCAATCCTAAGATCAAAATCAAACTCACAAACCCCAATAACCATCCTAAGTGCTAGCTTAAATGAGGTCATAAGATAAGAACAAACCATTGTCGCTCCTAATACTCTCAAGATTTTGCACATGACTAGCTTTCACAAAAAGGCATCACTCAAGCAAATTACTGTTGGCTTCAAGGAATGGTAAGGGTTTTAAGGGTATGGGAGTGCCATTTGGGTTAACAAAGAGTGGTAAAATGTAATAAGATAACTCAAATGTGTATGATCCATGACTAAGTATGCAAGTGCCCATTTGCAAGAGAAATTAAGTTCCTTCACTTCAAGTTCAGTTTGGAGTTGGTTTCAAGAACAATGTCAATCTTAAGCAAGCAAACAAGTTTCAAGAAGAGTTTTCAAGGCTCGAAGCGTGCAAAGCTTTCAAGAGATGCTTAAACTACTTGATATATTTAACTAGGGTGTCACTTAGAGCTCTAGACAAATATTCTTTACAAGGTTTTTTAAAATCATTGCTCTCAATGCATATGAATGCAACCTATATGCTCTAGACTCAATCTAAAGAAAATGAAAATGATGCAACTACATGATTCTTTTTGTTGTTTTTTTTTATTTTTTTATTTTGTTTTGGATTTTATATGCAAATATGTATCTACAATGCAACTACATGATTTTTTTTTTGTTGTTTTTGATATTTTAATTTTTTTGGATTTTCTATGTAATATGTATCTACAATGCAAGAATCTCAATGAAACAAAACAAAAGAAAACATTAGAAACTTGGTCCCTCCCCCAAATTTGAATCACACAGTCTCTTGTGTGACTTAGAATGGAAGAGAGACCGAAAATAAAAAGAAGCAAGAAATAAGAATTGTATTTACAAAAATGGTAGGAGAAGTACCTCAGTGCTCGGTGTAACCGAGCTGTTCGTCCGAATCGGAGGTCGGGACAAATGGTGATTCGTTTTCTGAGATGGCGAGAGGTAAAGGTGGAACGGGGTGCCATTTCCGTCTAGGTCTACGCTGAAGAGGCTCGTGGAGTGAGGCTCGCGGTTCGTCATAGTAAGCTTGAGTAGCACTAGCATCTCCTTGGTAAGATAACCTATGAGCCTGAGCCGGAGCATCTCTATCTGCTGCTGTATCCTCTGCATCTACCATAGGATCGTTGGCTGTATTAGGGGAGGAGGCTCGGGAACGACACGGTTTGAGGGTCAAGCTCTTTAACCTCCCAGCCAAATAGTTCAGTGATCTCACCAGCTTTGAAATTTCTCGATCCTGAAATTTGTTGGCTCGCTGAAGTGATCTGATTTGCTGATGTGCTTCTCGGATAGGACAGTTGGGAAGAGCACCACCGTAAGGTGTGAAGTAGTATCGAGAGCTCCAATAAATGGTGGCTGGTGCACTAGTCCCAGCTTTCTCCTCAAGCTGAGAAATATCAGTGCTCTTCTTACTCTAACTGATCTTCCTAGGTATCTCATGAATGGAAGGGTTGTACAAAACTTCATAAGGGAGATTGAATTTGAAGTTGTCTCTCTGGTGGTTAATGATGTGATGTCCTGGTTTGGAAGAAGATTCCTTGCAATGTTTCTATAGAAAATCTTGTAACAGTAAACCCATGAGTTACCCACTTTCCCATCGAGGGACACACAGTTAGTGAGAAATGTTTCGTCCATCAACTCAAATCCAACATCAGGCTCGGGTAAAGGAACATCCAGTGCTTCTAAAAGTGGAGTGATAAGGCCTCCAATTTGCAGCTCCGGTGTCTTATCACGTGTCGTCCATATCCAATGCTGGTAATAGAGTAGGCGCTTCACAAAAATCGTTATGATCCCTAGTTCCTCATCCCATCCACCATGTATCGATTTGTTTCCGTCAAACACTCCTATGAACGGTTTAAGCCCTATAATTAGGAATCTCAGCTCATCTTCAGTCCCTCTTCCCGGCTCTCCCCGGCAACGACGCAAAATTTGATAAGGGGGTTTTAAGTCCTTAAGCAAATCAAAGTAGTACTTTAGATGTCAATTCAAGTTCTAAGTGTTTTGAAACAAAGAGATTACAAGCTATGCTTAATCTAAATGCAATCAGTTTAGAGAATGTGAAATGATTTAAGAACAATACAAAATGCAACAAGTAACAAGCTTTCTCTCAATTAGTGAAGATAAGACTCATGGGAGTAGGTATTTGGTTTAGGTGATCAAGATTCAATCCTAAATGGCAAGCTTTCAATCAAAGTGTGTTCCTTAAGTCTAAACTACTTAACTAAGCAAGTTCTAGGTCTAGACAAATGCTCATTTGCTTTTATTAATCAAACACAAATGATCATTGGCTTAATCAATTCAAGCAATCACTAGGAACAAGTTTAATAGCTATTTAAAGCTCCCTAGATACAAATGATCATTGGTTAGGTGGTTTTAAAGCTAGGAGAGTTGGTTCATACATTTAGACAAACACTTTGTGGGTAGAAAATGGCTAATGATCATATGATTAAAGAGGCCAACAATAATCAAGCATTAAAATCACTCAACTAACAAGGAAACACCTAAATCTAACACCTAAGATCTACACTTGATCACCATTACCAACCTATCCCATGAATCTAAAATGAATCTACTCACTAATACACATGATTAACCTAACAACAATGGTTGATTGTTGGTTAAACATGATTAGAGATCAAGATTACTCAATAAACTTAATAAAACAAGATGAAAAGAAGATAAAGTTATGATCTTTCACAAAATAGTACTTAGTTTCAGAGAGAAAATATAAGATAAGATGACATTTCTGGTCTAAAATGTATTTATAGTAAGCTAAAATTCGTCCTAGGTCAACCCAACAACTCTGGGCCAGCCCAACTATAGATAGGTAAAGCCTGCTTCGGAAACGAGCCGCGCCCTGTTCTTTGCCGCGGCTGAAGCTTGCTGCCTCGTCCAACATGCCGCGCCCGTCCAGAACCGCGGCCATCACTCGTGGGATCCTCTGGTCGAGTTGAACAACTCTTGACCGCAACCTACTCCCGGCCGCGTTGACAGCCCGCGGTAAACCGCCTAGCTCCTGCACCCTCACTTCCCATGGTGGAAGCCCACGGGATTCTCTGGCCACTTTTCTGCCGGAGGATCAGACGTGAACCCACGGTTACCTTCTAGCCGTGGTGTAGCACCCGCGGTGAGCCCGGTTTTGCACCATTCCATTCTCTTGTGAACGTTTTGAAGCTCATTTGGTCTCCAAATCTGATTAGCACTTCTCCAAACCTGAAAACACATAAATGCAATGCAATGCCACCTAAACAAATTCTAAATGCATTAAAATGATCAATATGTACACCAAATGAATGATTAAAACTATGAAATTCATAAGATATCATTCTATTGAGTGGAGTTGGTTATTCTATTGTAGACATAAAGAGTCTTTATTCAAGACTGTAAGAACGCATTCAGCAGAAAAGCTGGTTTGTATTATTTTATTTTTTATTAAAATTTTCGTAGTAAT